GAGGGCGGAGCCGACCTAGGAGAGGCTGTGCGGGGCGACTGAGGACGGGCCGGGAGCCGGGGCTGCTGGGTGCTTTTCAGGAGCGTGACCGTGTGACGCCGGCCACTGCGACGGAAGAACCACCTGGGAGGCCAGGGCACAGAGTGGGCGGCCCTGGGTGGGCGAGGTCTGTGGTCAACATCAAGCCACTGCCCGCAGTCCCAGCACTCAGGAGGCTGAAGCGGATGGACCCTGCCAGGGCGCCCCACCCAACTCGCTCTCAGCACCATGGGTGTTGGCGCCGTTGCTGAAGAAGCCTGGCTTCCCGGAGGCTTACCAGGTGCCCCGGGCCACACAAGAGATGAGCTCTTTCTGCGCACATGGCTCTGTCCCCTTTGTCCCTCGCGGTCCTCCTCTTCAGCCTCTGTCTCCTTCCTGAGTCTGACCTGACTCGGCAGCTCCCACAGCCCCTTGCTGCTGGCTCCTGTTCACGTCTGCCCCTGAGAGACCAGGCGCTCCCCCAGAGCAGGTCTGGGCCTCGGCCCTCAGCGCTGGACACTCGTGTCCCAGTCCACTGATGGACACTGGAAGGGCGGAATGAGGGGGCGACACAGCTGCCCAGGGCCAGCAGGAACCTGCGAGCTCGCTCAGATTCTCAGCATCTTCTCGAGGCTGGCAGGTGTCAGCAGTGTCACTTGGGCGAGCAGACCTGGCCTCTGCTTCCTCCCTGCCCTGCTGTCCTTCCCTAGCACACCCCGGGACTCCACACCCCTCACCAGGCCAGGCATTGTGGCGCAAGCCTATATCCACAGCACTCAGGCGGCTGAGACAGGAGGATCCCCATGAGTTCAAGGCAACTTAGCAAGACTGTCTCAAAAAATAAACAAACAAACAAACAAAACAAAAAAGGACCTGTAAATTTTTTCCCTGTATGCATTTTCCCCCAAAGGCGAAGGATACCTAAAGGAGGCTCAGAGAACACAGGAAGAGTAAGAACCTGGGCAAAGGACAGAGTAACAGCTACTGGCACTGCAGAAAGCCACAGCGTCAGGACTGGGAAGCCGAGGCTGCAAGCTGGCCGCCTGCCAGCTTTCCACAGCCGTGGGCTCC